CAAGGGCGTTAACATCTCAGCAGCCCAGAAAATTCAACTGCGCATTACTCAATCGGCATTATACTACACACGAGCAGCAGTCATCACCCTATACTGGCAGACGAATGCCCCAGGTGATACTTGCAAATGAGAAACCCCGGTCTCTTTGAGTCGGTAGGGGAGCGGTGGCGAAATGGTTAGCGCTACACTGTGCTACAAACCCGGCGACCCAAGATCGATTCCCGCTCACGGCCAGCCCTGGTTGACGATTGTCTGAACCCTTTCTGGGCCTCCCTTAGGTCGACTCAGCCTCACATGAGTACCTGGTGCGGTGTGTCAACATCGCTCCTGGGGAGACAAAGGCGGTCGGGCGTGGTGCTGGCCACCCACCCCCTCGCGTCCCGTGCCGGTCTTCACAGGTGCTCGCTAACAGCACTTGCCCCTACAGTCTGTTAAGGCTACACGGGGGATTTTTGTCTTTGTGTTGGTACAGTAATACCCCAATTTACGTCTCCCCATTTCACATCGTTTCGCAGACACGTCGTCACTTTATTATGAACGCCGCTAACCGATTAGCGTCGCCTCAATCCCACCACGCTCAAGTCGCTCGCGGAATCGTCCGCACTTTCTCGTTATCCGTCGCCCTTCAGCCTTCGCCTCCACCACCACCACCACCATCTCCACCACCACCACCATCTCCACCACCACCACCATCTCCACCACCATCTCCACCACCACCACCACCATCTCCACCACCACCACCATCTCCACCACCAACTCCACCACCACCACCATCTCCACCACCACCACCATCTCCACCACCATCTCCACCACCACCATCTCCACCACCACCACCACCACCACCACCATCTCCACCACCACCATCTCCACCACCACCATCTCCACCACCACCATCTCCACCACCACCATCTCCACCACCACCATCTCCACCACCACCACCACCATCTCCACCACCACCACCACCACCATCTCCACCACCACCACCACCACCACCACCATCTCCACCACCACCACCACCACCATCTCCACCACCACCATCACCACCATCTCCACCACCACCATCTCCACCACCACCATCTCCACCACCACCATCACCACCACCACCATCTCCACCACCACCATCTCCACCACCACCACCATCTCCACCATCACCATCTCCACCATCACCATCTCCACCACCATCTCCACCACCACCATCTCCACCACCACCATCTCCACCACCACCATCTCCACCACCATCTCCACCACCACCATCTCCACCACCACCATCTCCACCACCACCATCTCCACCACCACCACCACCACCCACTACTACTAATGCCCTGTAAACCGCTTTGATTGACGTTTCGATATTCGTCATCACTTTACTAACAGCGAGTGACACCTGAACCAGGCCTGGGTATCCACCGCTCACCCCTCGCCGCTCATCACCAAACTCACCCACGGTCAAAGAGCGCACCATAAAACAACGTTTTAATATCCCACGGCCTGGTGCAGCCACAGTTCGTCAAACATTTACAGGGGAACCTATAACTCAGACGGACACGACTGGTTTGAAGTCACCAATATTGTCTCTTTGTGGCGTTTGAAATAGTGCCAATAAATGCGTTTAACAAGATGCCTCATCCAGGATTTTAAGCACAGATACGCAACTTCAAAGGGGACGGCAGCGCAAGGTCGAGTGACCGAAAATGGGATCGCTGTCATTTAAACACGAATGTTTGCGGCAGAGCAGCATTGGAACGTGTTTTCCCACAAAAACTGTTCCTTAAATACTCAATGCACGTTTGTTCATCACAAACCGCGATTAATTCTTCATGGCGTGTTTACATACAGTGGTATGTGTGTGTGTTTGGGGCGGTTGTGTAGCAGCTATCTCGCTACGAACCCGGCGACCCGAGTTCGACTCACGCTCACGGCCAACACCCGGTGACCATTATCTGAACTGCTCCTGGGCCTCCCCTAGGTCAGCTCAGCCTCGAATGAGTACCTGGTGCGGTGTGTCGTAAACATCGCCACTGGGGGAGACAAAGGCGACCGGGCGTGGTGCTGGCCACCCACTCCCTCGTTTGCCGTTGCCGGCCTTCATAGGCGCTACTCGAGAACAGCACTTGCCCCAGCAGTCTGTTGAGGCTACGCGGGGGACCTTTGTCGTGGGACGTGACCATTGTAATTTTAATCACGCGAAGCCCTTGGCGAATCCACTCATGGATGAAGGCTTCCCCACGCCGGTCATGGGTGGGCGGGGTTCCGTGTTGTCGACTCACGTCACTCATGTGAATTAGACCCTCGTCCAGGTCAGTGCCCGGATTCTCCCAGGAGCAATAGCAGCGACATCTTTAGTAGCTACGTGTGTAGTAGCTTTTTCACACACGCCCATAACCATTTTCAAGGGTCACCGCGCTAAATGCTTTCGAGCTATCAATTCCGGTTCAGTGATTCTGCACTTGCTCTATTACTATAGTACTATACCGCCTTCACCTTTTACGAACGACTGGGTGTTTAAGGTTAGCGATTTGTCGTATGATATGGTTGTATAGCAATGAAATAATAAAATTTCTTTACTGTGCAAATAAAATTTAGTATTTTAATATTTACGTGCATTTCGTGTTATTTAGGTTCCCCTTTATAACATGATATACATCAGGCCCCGCACTAGCTTAACCCGCCACTGCTCGTCGGGTTACACAAAAAGAAACAATGGGAGGTCGTGACGCCTTTACCACTGCTGCTCTCTCCTCTCTCTCTCTCTCTGGAGCTCTCTCCGTCTGTCACCACTGCTGTCTCTTCCTAAGTTCGGGTCCAAGTTTAGTCTCTTTCTACTTAAGGCACCTTGAGAGATTGTGAAAGGCGCCTAATAAGTGCAAACCATGATTGTAATTTTTCAGATTTTTTTTTTAAAGGCGGCTACGTAAGTCTCCTCCATACGTTGAGTACGTCATTCGGCTTGCACGGTGTGGTGAGATGCGGTCACGATGAGATGATTTGTACATTAATATCGTATTAGCGTCGAACCTTAGTTGTGACTGTAATATTAAGTTAAATGCACAGTGCTCAGGACACGGAAATTCGTTTTCTCTCTCTTCCTCCCACACAAACCCAGCAGCCTCGGGTATTTTGTCGTTGTTGTTAAACCAGATAAGGCCCACTGAACTATTATCTCTTTTTCAGAAGTGACCTGGCCACAAATGATAGCTCAATAAAGTGGCTTATTGTGACGTGGAAATGCACAGCAGCCAAACACTCAAAACGCAAGTTGATTCTAAGTGTGGAGGGGAAAACCAGTGGATCCGGAGAAAAATCCACACGACCGTTGGGAGAGAAAGATGCAAATATACAAAAGGCGTCAGGATCGGGATCGAACCCACGACCTCCACGCATACCAGGCGAGGTGAATGAGAATGAATGTACGCGTGTTGAACTTTTTTCGCACCGTACGTAGCCAACCGCGCTGATCGGAGGTGCGGAGGAAGGGCAGCAAACGTGAACGCAATGGCACAAATCTCAATCAAATGTGACCACGCGGAACGCGGAATTTATCAGAATTTCAGGAAATCAGCACGTATAGTCGAAAATCAGACATCCTCTCAGACAGAGGCAAACTTCTGCCAAAGCGATTGTCCGAGTCAACCTTTGTTACTGGCAACAAATGTTCGCGTTCGCATTTGTTTGTGCGCTCTTTTCGAATTATTTTACGTCACGTAATGCAGGTTTTTTTTTTTGTAAACTGATTTCTCTTCTATTCACGGTTGCACCTTATTTTGTAGGCTATTACTTTTGTAATTTCGTTGACATCAGACGATGTCCTGCTTCCTTGAGTTCTCACCGAGCCACGCAAACAAATTTCACTCCTGAGACTTGACGAAGTACAAAACGTGTAGATCTTAATTGTAAGGCTACTGACTCATTAAAAAGTATACATTTATTATCCCGATGATTGCATTATTTCTGAAATGTTAGAACAACGTGAATGTCACGCGAGCCATTGCGTGAGTCTCTGGAACCGTTTAATCTGTGCTCCAAACAGTCAGGTCCTCTTCGATTGCACTGCTTAACGTTTATGAGCCACGGTGGCGAGATGCTCCCTCGCCTCGTATACAGGAGAGCATGGCTTCGATCCCGATCCCGACCCTGAATGTATATTTGGAGTTTGCGAGTTTCTCTCCCCGTGGTCGTGTGGATTTTTCTCTAGGCCCTCCGGGTTTTCCCGTCCACATTTAGGAACACGCGTTCAGAGTATTTGACTGCTAGATGTGTTCACATAAGCCGCCTTCGTTGAGCTATCATTTGTGGCCAAGTCGCTTCTGAAAAAGAGCTACCTCGCTCGGTGGGCAACACCTGGTGAAATAAAAAAATAGTTTTAGTGTAATGGAAACCTCAGGAGACTCCCGTCGGCACCCAACCCTTCAGCCGCATCGCCCGAACAAATTCCAAAGGTTTCGATTTAAAGCTTTCGTGACTGCAAGGATTCATCTTCTTTGGTTCTTTCGGTAAAGTCACGTAGATGTGTATGCTTTAACTTTAACATAGCCTTTTCTGTGACCAGTCACAAGCTAATCACTCAGCCATTTCAATGCTAAATTATATGCTAATTCCTTTGTCAAGGCGCTTTGTTTCTTCTCACACAGCTTAAAGGTCGTGATCTGAGCATGGCTTTCTCACTCCAGCGCTGTCCTCCAGACAGTCTCGTCCCCTTCACCTGATGAAGACCGCTTGTGTTGTGGCCGAAACGTCGTGAGAATATTATTGTGCTATTTTATTTTATCAATTTATTATTTTATTCTCATTCTACGTGGTGACTTTACCGAAAGAAACCAAAGAAGATAAATTCCAATGGGTTCCTTTACGAAGTTCGTTTCTACGTGGGCGGCCGCTATGGCCCACAGCGTAACTCGTGGAAGCCTGCACCGTTGTCTTCCGTGAAGGATCCACGCGACGTCGGCACGCGTCGCTCGCACTCTCGGTGGGGACAATAAGCTCACGCAGGAAACTCACGGGGGTGCCTTTAACGACGTGAAGTCTTTTATTCGTTTTTTTTTGCATGCATGAAGGATAACACAATCGACAATGAAAACTATACCCGTCGACTCGTCACGAATCGTCACGAATCGTCACCGGACAAACCCTCGCACAAACGCGGCGACCGACCGACCGACCGACCGACTGACTGGCGTGAAAACTGATGTTTTTATTGTTGAAGTGCAACAAAAAACGACGCCCGGGAGCGTCGCACGGTAGCGGCGATCGAACGACGGAGATGCAGCGGAAACCACGTGCCCATCTCGTCAATATATGGGGCGCCGCTGTGGCGAGCAGATGTTATCTCCCTCGCCTTGTACGCGGGAGGTCGTGCGTTCGATCCCGACCCTGACGCCTGTTGCATGATTGGAGTTTTCGTGTTCTCCCCGTGGTCGTGTGGGACTCCCGTTCTTCCCCTCCACATTTATGAGCACGCGTTTTTGATTATTTGGCTGCGATACATTTCCACGCGATAAGCCACTTCGTTGAGCTGTCATTTGTGGCCAGGTTGCTTCTGAAAGAGAGCTACATAGCTCAGCGGGCTGTAGCCGGTAAAATTATAGTTGAGTTCATAGTTACCGTAGTTAGATCGTCCACGCGACGCGTACGCATGCCTTTCACATTTACGACTACACAGGAAGCGATAACGATAGAGTATTTAAAAAACATGATTACTACCCGTATACAGAACATTTATATTAATATATATCTCTCTCTCGAATAAAGATGAACAGTTTTGCCTTCACGATTTATAAAACGTGTGTTAAGCAACGAAGACGTACAAAATTCCGTCAAAGAAATCCCCCTGCAGGTATTAATTTGAAGACGTTAAAATGATTCACGCGACCGTGAAAACCATGCTACTACGCGCGCATTACGCGTATATATTAATGTACCCTACACAGTAAATCCCATAAAATACTCGTGGGCTGTGATGGCACACTGTTAAACATTTATTCGAATGACAATCTTGGATTTAGCGGTGACGCAGTGAACCGGCTCCCGCACTGCGCCATGAACCCGGCAACCCAAGTTAGATTCCCGCTCATGGATAACGTCCTGTGGTGTGTGATGTCTGAACCGATTCTGGGGGGCCCCAATCCCCGGCCCTCCAGCAATCTGCACTGACCGGCGTGGTGAAGTATGGTCAAGAGACCACCCGTGACCGAGAGTATGGAGACAGACCTTTATCCAGCAGTGCTAAAATCATGGTTTGTCAAACACGAATAACAATTTTTTATTATTTTAATATCAGTGGACTTTAAAACAACTGCGGATGCACTAAATTTGAATCCTACTTAAACGTTAAACATGCTACCTTCAACGTAAAGAGTAAAATGTTCAATTTATTGCCTATTCGTACCATTGTAAAGAAAAATAATCATTAACCTTAATTATATTAACGTTGAAAATCTTCGTAAACATAAGCAATAATCAGGATGTATAAAAACACACAAATGTTGTGTCATAAATTATAATCAAAGGTGAAAAAATAGATTTAAATATGTAACTCGACGGTTAGAAAATATTAAATATAATGTATGCTAAACTTATTAACTTTGTTGCAGAGCCAAGTTTAACTCATCTGTAAGAACAAAATAATTAAAATAAATAAGCACACACGAATTGTCTGTCTCATTGACCAAACTCACTCATAATTCTCTCATCGCTATTGCAATAGGCAGCCAAACGTGGGCCATAATAATGACTGTGCTGGGGAATAGATCTGAATTATATCTACGTTTTAAGCTACGTAATAGCCATTACGTCAATGGGCTCGCAATGATTGTACGTTATAAAAAAAATATAACGAAAAATATAATTTATAATTGCTGAGCATTAACCATAATAACCCTTCTAACCGGATCTCTATTGAGATTTAGTCTGTCCCCACCTTCGCACTTGGTCATGAATGCGCGGAGGCGTGGGTGACGATGAAGCTCTGGGCTACAAAGCATTAAATGCCTCTCTCTCTCTCTCTCAAAAGGGGAAGTCAATGCCCACGCCTACCAGATAAGTTAAACTTTCTCCGACATGATCTACGCTTTAACAACAACAAAAACAAAAATCGCGCGTAAAAATGACAGTAAGAGAAACGAAAGTGGTTACATAAGGGGGAGCGCCTTATCGTATAACTATACAGGTGGCCGCGTAACGCGACCAACACGTGGAGTTTCATAGAAACCATGAGTACTTCGCAACAGTCCCTGGGAAAAGTTCCTTGTGGCCCAAGCCACGACAGCTCACAAGCACCGTCTCGCACACGCAGACAAATACCTTCCAAGTCTCGAACGTGGACTGGTGGAGGGTTTTGGGGGGGGGGGGGCATTTTCGGAGTGGTTGCCACACCCCCCAAAACCTCCACCCGGCCAAAAAACAAATAATGCGACAAAAACCAAATTGGTGTTTAAAGAGGGCATATGTTGACGGTTTTCAGCAGCCATGATAAGCCGCTTCTCGCTTCGCGACCAATTTGCATCTATGGTGCAAGGCCGTTTGTTTAGCGAAAATAAGCACGTAGATAAATTGCTGTCAGAAGTTGCTCGTGGTGGCAAGATGCTCGGCTTTTTTTAACCGACGAACAAAACATTTGGCTGGATAATGTCCCATTCATCGCAGTTCGCTTTTTGGGATCTCGGAGATAATTGAGACATCGCGATTATTGGTTTTGGCATTTCACGTTGCAGACGTTGGAAGGCCCTAAATAAGGCGGTGCGTTTGCGAGCCTTCGTGCTCGGCGGCCTAGGAGCCAAACCCAGACACCTTAAGTCGCTAAATTGAAAACATTGAAGGAAACCCGACTGTCACATGACAGTGATTTTCTGACCAGGGTGACGCCATGCGAACCAAAGTCACTGCCTGCCCAGGATGGCCTGAGCAGGAGCCCTTGCTCGCTGTGCCACACCAGCCCTCCCTCTTAGGATCTGTTTCACCTGCGGAGAACAGAAGAAGAAAAACAACAACAGCGGGGGAAGGGAGGCGCTGGGTTAAGCGGCGTAAGATAAACACGCGTGTTCAACGTTTTTAATTCTGGACGTGTTGTTACGGTACGATGATTATCAATCGACATTACGATTGAGATCGTGAGTCAAACCCTACTGACGACAGTGACGTTACTTACAAAAATGTCCATCGATGACGATTGTGATCAAGGTTCTATCGATGGTGCGAGTGATGGTGACAGGACATCGGTGACGAGGAATGTGACGACGACGCGAACGACGATGATCGTGGGCATCACAATTGCGGTGGCTAACCGATTTATCTGACAACTGCGCTGATCGTGGCTGATCGGATGACGACATTCACCACGACGACGACGACGACGATGATGACAACGAATGAAGACGACGACGATGACGACCACAGCGCCTGCCGTCGTGCTCACCAATTCGGCGCTCGCGCTGCCCTGGTACACCAGGTGGAGCGGCTGCTCGTTCTCCAGGTTGCGCACGCTGGGGTCGGCGCCGTAGTGCATCAGCGCCAGGATCACGTTCTCCTGCTCGCCGCCACCGCAGGCACCGCCGTTGCCCATCCCGGCCGCCACGTGCAGCGCCGTGTTCCCGTTGTAAGCCTGCGCACGGTCCGCAAACAAACCCGCGAACGTCACACGTGAAGCGACGGCAGTAGCAACGCCAGTGCCACCCACCCACCACCACCGCCGCCGCCGCCGCCGATAGAACAAAGATCCCCCGTGTAGCTTTAACAGACTGTAGGGGCAAGTGCTGTTAGCGAGCACCTGTGAAGACCGGCACGGAACGCGAGGAGGTGGGTGGCCAGCACCACGCCCTGCCGCCTTTGTCTCCCCACCGCTCAAGGTACTCATTTGAGGCTGGGTCGACCAAGGGGAGGCCCAGGACCGGTTCAGATAATCGTCACCGGTGTTGGCCGTGAGCGGGAATCGAACTCGGGCCGCCGGGTTCGTAGCGCAGCGCGCCGACCGTTGCACCACCGCTCCCCACGGCAGTGCCCCCCCCCACCACCACTCCCTTCACGCCCCCACCCCCCTAAGCAGTGACTTGTAGAGCTTCGCAGCTCGTCGGATTATTGTTGTTGTCGTGTCGACGATCTTACCTTCATGTTGATCAGCTGTGGACTGCACGTTGGGAGACGGAGCAGGAAGTCAAGCAACTCGAGATTGGAGTCCTGCACAGCTAAGTGTATCACCGACCTGCCACTCTTCCCATCCTGCATCAAAAATAACAACAGCAGCAACAATCCCCGGATTAGTTTATCGCTGTCATTTTGCATACCCCTTTTAACAAAGCACATTCATGTGAAACAGACAAAGCTGACATCTTAGATTGAGAATGTAAGCAAATGTTTTTTTGTTACTTATATTCTCCGCAATGATGCTGATGATTATTATGCATTGTTTTTGTGTAGCTTTGCGTCGATCCAGGACCCGTATCCAACAGAGAGTGTCCTTGCCCACGAACGTGTGGCAGTTCGCAAGCAATGGTGTAAGCAAGCCTGGATCTGCTGATAAGACGCTATCCAGAATACAGCCACCGCTTTTGACCTCCCCACGAAACGCGACTCATTTTATCGAAGCCTGGGTGAGGATGGTGCCGCGGTGGCGAGATGTTAACTGCCTCGCCCGGTATGCAGGAGATGGTGGGTTCGATCCTAACCCTCACCCCTGTATATTTGGAGTTTCTCTCCCTGTGATAGCGTGGATGTATCTCTGGGTCCTTCGGTTTTTCACTCCACATTTTAAATCAACATGCGTTTAGAGCATTTGGCTGCTAGAAATGTCCACGTGATAAGCCGCTTTGTTGGGCCATCGTTCGTGGTCAGGTCGCATCTGAACATAACTATTTAGCCGAGTAGGTCTTACCTGGTAATATATGTCTTTTGAACGTGTATGGTACGTATGTTGGACTTCTTATACGCTATACATAGCCAAACGCACCAATCGAAGGTGTGGGTAAAATAAATAAAAAGTTTGGATTTAATAAAAAAAAAACGGCTCTCACCTGAGCGTGGAGCGAGGCGCCCATGCCCAGCAGCATGGCGACGGTGCCCAGGAGGTGCTGCTTGCGCTGCTGCAGCCGCACCAGCTCCGCCGCCCCAGAGGCATTCTGGGGGCGCTCGAGCATCGCCTGCAGCTCCCGCGCCGTCTGGCCGTGCGCCATCACCGCGCAGTGCAGCGGCGTGAGGCCTGAGGGGGCGGGCAGGTAGAGAGGCGTCCTCCTCCGTTAGCGAGCTCGACGCTCGTCGATGGCAGGCAAGACGCAACGGCGCCTGATCACCGGCGGCCGCAGCAACAACGGCAGCAGCATCGTCGGTTCGTCTGGGTTCATTCGTTACGGTTCAATTGTTCAGGTTCAATTGTTCAGGTTCATTCGTTCGGGTTCATTTGTAATTCACAAGGGCCCCAGGAGTTAAAGACTTAAAAAGCTAAAAGTTTCTAAGTTTACTCGAGAACCTTCCGTGCCTTAATCGGCGCACTTGCCGACTGATTTGATGGCCTCTGTCGTTGTGACTTCTCTTGTGACCTCCTACCCTTGCCTACTTTCCGGATAACACGGCTCCCTTTTGCGAGCTGTCAATATTGTCCCAGTGCACCGTGCTTCAATTCGTGCATCAATTTGCAACAATCGTCAACTCATCGTCGTCTCTCTCTCTCTCTCTCCCTCCGATCGTTGTCAATTCATCAGTGTCGGCTTCCGTTAAAAAACCACCGTCAAATGTGTACCGTGCAATATGCAGACGTGTGCGAATGTGTGAATATGACTCAAACCTGTGATATCATGACAATAAAATCAAATTAAACCTGCCAAGTAAAATTTTAAAATGTTTAAAACCATTGGGGTTAGTTAAAGGGAACAAAAGAGTGATATAAATGTTTACGTTTAAATATGTAAGATATCAACAGCGGTTTAACACAAAACTCTAGAGATGGCGATTGCGTTTGGACTCGAGACACTCGCAATCTGTGGTGAGGTATTCATCGGGCTCCGTGTGGAGAACACGAAACCGACCTTCGAAATTCGTAACGTCGACATCCAAGACCTTTCCCCTCTGCTTGCACCACCTCTTTAGAACCTGCATCCACCGAGGCGGAAACATCACGAACGCGTTATACCACCCGCCGACTCAATGCGACGTTCTCTCACGTAGCATCGGAACCCAAAAAAAAACTCGCACAGTAGGTCCTCGCTGAACGCGCGGTGATCGCACAACGCACTCAGCAACATCGCTCCTAAAAAGCAGTCTTAGAACTCTGTGGGGCTTTCCGGGGTAACCAAGTATAATCCCAATAAATCAAAAGTGATACCGATTGAGCATTGGACGCTACGGTAGCGAGATATTTACTACCTCGCCCGTTATGCAGGAGTTCGGTGGGTTCAATCCCAAGCCCTGACGTCTTTATGTTTGAAGTTTGCATGTTCTCCCCCTGGTCGAGCGGATTTTTCTCCGGGTCCTCTGGTTATACCCTCCACATTTATAAATCAACACGCGTTTAGAGTATTTGATTGATGCAAATTGTGATGAGTCACTTCGTTGAGCTGTCACTTGTGGCCAGGTCGCTTCTGAAAAAAAGCTATGAAGCTCAGTGGGGCCTTACCCAGTAAAATTAAGTATAGGTTTCAAAAACTGGTTTTAGGATTCCTCACCTCCAGCACCTGCAGGAACCCACCCTCGGCACAGACGTGGATCAGGGACCGGCCCCAACGGTCGGTGGTGCCGTTCTCAGCTCCCAGCCTCATGAGGTCACCCACGATCAGAGGCTGATTGGTCACGGTCGCCAGGTGCAATGCCGACTGGGTAAAAAAAAGAAGTAATGAGTAAAAAACCACGCCTTGTTTTTCAAGGTACACAAATTGCATCGCGATTTTTCGTTTTTAAACGATTTTGGTGAACGCCTTTAGCGTAGTTTTTATTCTTTGCAACGAACCCGAAAACAGTTTTGCGAGTGGCGAAATTTGCCACTTTCACAATCTTCATCATCACCCGTGCTCAATCCACTGTCACCAAACCGTCCGTTGCTACCCGTCACTGTCCCGCGATGGAGACATCCACCTGGCACCAGCCGGCGAGCGGCGGGGTGGTTTCCATGGCTGATTTTTTTTATCATCTTTATGAAAATAACGATAGCGTTCAATTTTCACTGCAAACATCCTTTGGGGTTTTTTGATTGTTATCATTTTAAGTGTGTGCGACCCATGGTCGCGTGCGCGTGTGTGTGTGACGTGCGTGTTGAGTTGGGGGTTACTGAGGAAGCGAGCTACACCTTCAAAGATGAAAACACGGGAGACAAGAGACACGCGCGCTATTGCACAGGGACACGTTGCTTAACCGCCGCGCCGCCTTTACGGACTTCCTTGAGCATTCATTTGCATTTCCTTAACAATTGAGGTGGCGCGTTCGCTATTTACATTTCTGCATCTTGCGGGCGGGACGACAGGTGAGTTGCGCAACGCCGAGCGGCGACGAGGAAGTCGAATTCCTTACCCCGGACGCGGGCAAAAACAACGACGTCCGCGTGACTGATTTTATCGTCTAAGTCACCCGAGGCAGGGTGCGACCCCCCCCCCCCTGCCACCACCTCCAACCTCCGGGCCACGCGCGCATTCTCACCAGGCCATTGTGTTCACGCTCGTCCAGGTACCCGTGACTCGCCATCTTCCGCGCCAGCACGAACGCCAGGGCCCGCTGCCCGTGAACCACCGCGATGTGCAGCAACCTAGAGTGGGGTCACGCACGCACGCACACAGTGGGGTCACACACACATACACACATACACATAAACACACCAGCACGCACACCCACGCACATACCAGCACGCACATAGTGGGGTCACACACATACACACACACATGCCAGCACGCACACACGCGCGCGCATACCAACACGTAGCCAAACACACACGTGGACACAACAACGCACACGCAAACAAATGAAGACGGTGCACATTTGAACAGGATGACTGTGCACGTTTGAGTAAATTAGACCAACTCTTTTCTGCTCAGTTGTATCCGTATTATTATTATTGGGCCAGAATAGCTCGGATTTTTTTCACGTATCAAGTTCATGTTAAGAGGGCACATGTGAGAGTTTGCCACCGTGGTGCCGACAAGATATAATTTCGTGATTTATGACAGTCACTACCGGGATATTCATGCCATTTAAACGTGAATGTGTAAGCAAGAGAGTGAAAAAGATAGTCGTATCACTAATGGCTTTAAGGCATGCAATCTTTGAAATAAGACGGTGGTGGCGGCCAGTATTAACTCGAGTTACCAGCCCACTGCCAAAAGAGTCCACGGAAAAGTTTGCAACAAGATGTCACTTCCTTCCAAGTGGCTCTTAATTTAGTCGGCATCTTGAAAGTTTCACGACGAAATGCAATCCGCAGACCAATACTCGAACGATTTTTTTCGCAGGCTACTGTTACTGTCAACTAGCCTGAGACTTAAACAGCTGATGGAATTAACACCGCTTCTCGGCATGGAAAATAAGCTTGACGGTTCATCGGACTCCTGCAGCATGAATAAACATTCCGATTTCTGCGGAAAAAGCTCCGCTTTGGCCGCACCGACGCCTCCGCCGTGCAAGTGCGAGCGACCCGTGTCTCGTTGCTGTGCCCTTACGTGTCGCCGTCCACGTCCTTCTGGCACAGCTGCTGCGTCGTCACGTGCGCCAGTTTCTGCTCCATCTGCTGGATCTGCCTGTCCAGGAACGACGAGCCGCCGCCCTGGGAGCAAGTGCTGCTCACGTTGGGCGCCAGATGAGGAGCGGGAGGAGCGGGAGCAGCAGGTGGAGCAGGGGGAGCAGGAGGTTGGTGCCTCGGCTGCTCGCCCGGCCTGCCGCACAGGGGGGCGGCCTGCTGCTGCTGCTGCTGCTGCTGAGGCTCGCGATCGGAGATGTACGCCCATTTGTTGTCCACCTTGGGAACCTTCCCCACGTCGAGCTCGGCATAAGGCCACTCTTGCGGCTTCGGCTCCGTCGGCGAGAACTTCTTGTCCGGCCAGCAATCCTCCAAATGCAGGAATACCTCCGGTGTGTTGTACGGGTTGTGGGTGATCGTCCCCACCTCTGGCTGGGGAGAAGAGGATTTGAACATGTCCCGCTCCTCTATCTCGAGGATGTTATCGAGGATTTCCTGCAGGTCGTCGCTTTGGTACTCTGAGGAGTTTTCCTGGAACATCTCCGGCATCTCGAAGGCGGAATCCGACTCCTGTTTGGGCTGCGAGGGCGAAAGACACCGCAAGTTAAACACGTGTGCCACGTTTAATGCAGGGCGATCTACCAATAGGTAACTTTTAATCCCTGATACGCCGTAACGCCCAGGTTAGGCCCACTGAGCTATATAGCTCTTTTTTTCAGGAACAGCTTGACCACAAATGATAGGCCAACGAAGTTCCTTAGCACGTGGAAATTGATAGCAGCCAAATACTCTCAACGCGCGATGTTGATTCGAAATGTGGAGGGAAAAACCGGAGAAAAATCCACGCGACTACGGGAAGAACATGCAAACTCCAAATAAAAAAGCAGGCGTCAGGGTCGGGATCGAACCCGCGACCTTCTGTATACCAGGCGAGACAGTTAACATCTCGCCGCTGGGCACAGTCCTTGGGGGTCGTGGGAGTTCCAACTATTATTCCCAGGGTTCGTTGTTAAAGTGGCGACAGGAACGGGAGAGTGTGTGGCGCGCGTATTTGCCCGCTGCCTCTCCGCCGAGGGGTTCTCACCGGCTGGGATGGACACGCTCGCTTGGAGGGCACGGGCGTGTTGCCACTCCCCCTGCGCTTGTTGGGGATGTATCTTTGGTCTGCACATCGCGGGGGGGAGGTACAGAGGTGGAGGGGAGCCGGGGAGGAGAGAGAGGAAATGGACATTAGTCGCGGACAACGCAGACCAGGCTTTGGACTGATTGATTCACCGATAGGCAAGAAAAAAAACGTAGGACTGCTGATAAAGCGTTGGCCAAAACTTAATTGCATTACGTATATATTTCAGTGACTAAAGCAGCGTCCAGTTATGACGATTAACGGATTAACGGCAATGTGGCGGCAGGGTGGCACAGCGGTAACTCTCCTGTGCCTCACAGCAAAAAGGGCCTAGGTTCGTTTCCCGACTGGGGCGCCTTTCTGCGCGGAGATTGTGTGTTCTTCCCCTTGCTCTGCGTCGGTTTCTTCCGGGTTTTCAGGGATCCTCCCATCGCTAAACACACACACTATGTCATCGTTATTGGCCAAAGCACCCCGACGCTGGACGTTCGCCTGCACGTTACTGACATTGGGATGGCACGTCGCAACGTCGCAGCCTACCGCTGCAAGAAACAAAGATAGACTTGACAGGACCGTGCTGAAAGCAAGTCTTCAGACTCAGTGAGGCTTTCCTGGGTAAGGAAACGTCAACAATAGGAATAATAATAATAATGATGGGTGGTAATTATTTTCACACCGCGCGATTGAAAATTTGCGCTTTAAAATATTTTTTTTATTCATTCACTAATGTAAGGTCCTATGGAACACAGCCAGAACTAAATCGTAGTTACAAAGAAAAATCTCAACTATGCCCTGACCTCGAAAGGAATTTCCGATTGACGTGGCTAACTGGTGGTGGTCGGTGTTCGTTCAGTCGGCAAGCAAAGTGTGCTGCGTGCAAGTTCAGCGTAAGCCAGTGTGCGGACAATACCTTCCATGCAAGTACTCAGGCTTCCTTGCACCTGGGTCTGCAAAAACAACAAAAAATTGAAATTGACAACGGTCGTACAATATACAACGTATGGAAAGCTGTTCGAAATATTTCCGATGTTTATAACAGATAAATAAAAAAGTGAGTTACGTGTGTGTGTGGCAACTGTGCAGCCAACATTCACTATATCCCTACCTAACATAGTCTCCCATATCTTTGACCCAGCCAAACTGGTTAGCGATTGCAACTACAAAATAAAAGTCTCCTGGTGATTATTATTATTGTATTTAATTCTTACAATGCACTTCAGGACCCTTATTTTCATGTACTGTTCCCAAATAAACGTATTCTCGTCACATTGAGCGTGCTAAGTAAGTCTTGGCTTTTCCAATACCAAACCTGAGAATCTTTCAAATATGTGTCAAACATATCAGTCCAACTTTCCATGGCAATATGCCTTCTTTCTTTACGTCGTGTTGCATGCAAATTAAATTATATATTTTTTTAGCGCTCTTCTTAAATGCATTCGTTTTCTCGTTTCTGCACCGGTGAGATCGCTCGCGCGGAAAAATGCAAAAGCACCACTGCGTGTGACAAACTACTTTACTGTGCCGGTTTGTTTTTAGAAGCAGTTCGCACGTCCACCCAGGCACTGCCACTTTAACAACAATCATTATCTGACCGTACTGCAACACGCCGGTCAGTGGTGAATGATACCTGAACGGGCTAAGACCGGTTCGGAACACGATTCCCCCATGGTTATAGCCAGGAAGCGCAACACATCTGTAACTGCAATGAAATAAACTGGTACACTCGTTTTGCGAAGCGCGTGCGTGCGCGTGGGCGGTCACGCGCGTGGATGTGCGTCGTGCTCCTTTCTTTTAAAATAAATTCTAATTCCATAGCTGCTTGTAAACCCGGGCCCACTTTTCCGGGAAAGCAGAAGCCCAAAAAAAACCCGCTCAACGGGGGGGGGGGGAAGGGCATACGCCGCACCACCACCACCACCACCAACGCGTGCGTGCATTCCGTTCCGTACGCTTGGCCTATTTACACGGCCGCACTGCTGTGGCTGCGGCCCACTGCGGGCAAAGTGTTTCCCTCCGATAAGAGAGCGAGAGCGAGCGAGACATAGAGAGAGAGAGGGGGGCGGGGAAAGAGCGTCGCTTGACGCACCTGGCCCGTCGCCTGGCCGTTCCTCTGCCGCTCCAGCAGGGTGCGGACCGTGCAGCGCACGCGCACGCCTTGGTAGACTCGCTGGCTCTCACCACCTGCAGCGGCGGTAACAACAACAACAATAACATCAACGACCTGAACATCAACAACAACGACGACAACAACAACAACAACCACCAAAGACAAAGATCCACCCCCCACGCTGTAGCTCTCGCAGGCTGTTGGGGGCAAATGGATGTAGCGAGCACCTGTGAAGGCCGGCACGGTGCAACGATGGGGAGGGGTGGCCGGCACCACAGAGGGTGTTGTTAATACCCCCACACCAGATACACTCATTTAAGGCTGAGTCGGCCTGTGGCGGGGAGGCCCAGGACCGGTTCAGATGAATCGTCACCGGCGTTTGGCGGCCGTGAGCGGGAATCGAACTCGGCCTGGCTGCCGGGTTCTTAGTGCCGCGCGGCACTAAGAACGCCACCGCCACCGCAAGCAATCGGGAACCGCCGCGCCACCGTCGGCCAACAACCACCGAAGCGTGAGGTGGCAACGCGCAAACGCGGAGAGCGTCAGCCATCGGCAATAGGCAAGGGGTGGAGTAAGAGACTCGGCGTGCAGAGAAGACAGCAAGCTGCCTTTCTCCCACTGAGTCAAGACATTTTTATTTTATTTTACCAGTTCGGGCCAAAGAGCCACGTGGCTCTTCTTCAGGAGCGACGCGTCCAAAAATTATTGCTCAATGAAAGTGGCTTATCATAACGTGGTAATTTATAGCAGCTGAATGCTTTATAAACGCGTGTTTTATAAGTGTGGGTGGAAAAACCGGAGGACCCGGAGAAAAAATACACACAACCACGGGAAGAGAGACACACAAACTCCGAATATACATCAGGCGTCAGGGTCGGGATGGATACCCCACGACCTCCTGTGCACCAGGCGAAGGAGTTAACATCTAGCCACCGTGGCAGATCCACAAGTCCCCCCCCACTCCCCATTGTTTGTATAGCTCGTACACTCTGCCTCTATAAAATAATAATTATTTTAATCTCGTCTTTGACCAATCTCAGAATGCCTAAAATAAGAGCAATCATAATGAGGGTCCGGCTTTGGGGTGTTTGGGAAGTTCCATTGAATCGCGGATGGGATTATTGTTTATCAAATATCAATATACTCTCCTCAGTTGCATCTCATTTCCAAGGGAGTAAGACATGACCGATTCATACCGCACAATATGGCAGATGTAACACTTTAGACACTGTGAATATAAAACGTTAAAATAATGAAAGTACAAAAAAAATTAGGTAACATGTTTTAAAAGAAATATCACAATAAAAAAAACGTTTGCCGAATCTTTTAAAAATGAGCACGCAGAAATAAGCTGTGACACAGTGGATAGGCTACATTTCAAATATCGTATTAGTGTAAACAAGATGTTTTTGTTTTTAAATGCACTGGCCTGAAAAATTGCTCTCATAAATAAATGCCACTTACCGTGCATAGGTGATTTTGAAGACAATGTTTTTCACATACGAAACAAATCAATGATATTCCCGGCGGCTGGTGTCAACTCGTGCGACCTCATCAATGCCAATTCTTCACGCAGTGCTCATCGTCGAGACCGTCGCTTCCTCACGCACTCGACAAACTCCCTCAATGATAGTGCGCATTTCCCTTGCGTCCCTCTGAATCACCCCCCCCCCCCCCATCGTAAAGAATCCCCGTTATGGAACATTTTTTTATTACATTATTTTGGGAGTCGTGCACTAACCGCGAGCGAGGAAGCAGATGTACGATTATCCAAAGGAGATCACTGCGCTTATTAAATAGACGATTGTGCAAATGTACAAAAAAAATATTGTGGGTATCCGAGTGACGTGGGTCGATGGGCCCATAAAGTCAACTCCCCATTCTCTCCATGCTTTGGAGAAGCGGGGTAGGCCAAGGCAAATTTACTGACCACAGAAAGTCCCGCTTACGAGTGCCGGATTAACACACAAAATACAGAAGTGAATTTTTTTGGGAGTCGCCAATTTTTTCAACGGGTTAATTTCCTATTCTGCTCGTGCGTACGAAATAAAAGCCAATCGCATCGAACGCGCGCGCTTCGGCCGCCTCGTTGAGATTTTCCTTCGAGGCTGGGTTTGCTTTTCACTGCTTACCGAATGTTTAATGTGTCCGTATTGTCGCAAGACTCAAGTGGCGAGTCAGCACCGAGCCGGAGTCAGTTCCTTGCGTTTGCGTAAAGGCTAAAAACAGTGCTTCGCTCATTCAAATCTACTTGATAGTGTAAATGTTTCCTCATATATAAATGATTTGGTGGTGCTGTTACTGCATTGGCACTGGTGCAACAAGCAACACATTAACAACAAGTAAACGCAACACGTTCGTCGATAACACTGCAACATTTTGGCCAACGGCTCCTATTCCAAGGCACGTTTAAAGTATAAATATATATAAAAAGTGGTCAATATATGCAAGCGGGTACTCGGTGCGGTGCGCAAACATCGTGACGCTGGCCACCCCCTCTCGTGTACCGTTCCGGCCTTCGTAGATGCTGCTCGCTAACAGCACTTGCCCCAACAGTCTGTTAAGGCTACACGGGGGGGGGGGGGGGGGGGTGGGTGTAACGCACCGGTCTGCCGAGCAGAGCACGAGCTCTCGGGCGGGGAGCTCGGCCCGCCACCGTTGCCGTAGCAGGGCGACGCGGGGGTCCCAGCGCGAGGGGACAGCCCCATGCCGCTGTCGCGGCTGTGGCAGTCGTCCGGACTCCTCGGTGTGTCGCGCATCTTCCCTCCTCGTTAGTGAAGACTCTACGGGTAGATATATATGTCGTGGAGGGGTGGGGGGGGGGGATGTTTTTTTTATTTACCAGCTAAATGGCCCACTTAGCTGTATAGCTAAAACAAAATTTAGAAGCAATCTGGCGATCACAAAATGATCGCTCAGCGAAGTTGAGTCTCGTGTGGAAATGTTATAGCAGCAACAACAGCAGCAGCAGCGGCCAAGTACTCTAAACGCACGTTTGATTCTAAATGTGGAGGGGGGAGAGTGAGAACACGCAAACTCCAAATTAAAACAACAGCGCGTCAGGATCGGGATCGGACCCACGACCTCCTGCATACCCGGCGAGGTAGTTAACATATCCTTAGCCACCGCGGTAACAATCAGCACGGGGCAACAAACGGTTCAGGAGCAGCAAAAGGCAGCAGCGGCAATGCGAAGCTAAAAATCTACGGAGATGAAGTTAGAGAGAGAGAGAGACACGGGGGTCCCCCCCTCCCCGGGGTCCCCCCCTCCCCCTTCCTTGCCAATAATCATCACGACGTTCACCAGCGTAGGTTTCGAGTGAGCCTGACCTCTCTCTCTCTGCTCATGAGACGCTCTTGTTGAAGCAATACCCGCTGAAATGATGGCACTCCCGCAAAGGGTCGTGTGACTGATGGGGATGTTTAAATGAAAGTTGGTGGGGGTTTTTTTTTTGTTTACGTGGAGGACCAGATATGTGAAGATGTATTATCGGCGTATTATTTACCCTCGAGTAAAAATATCGAACCGACCGGGCAGAGAGAGCGAGCGAGGGAGCGGGTGGACTGTCTTGCCCGGCGCGTTACAGGAACGCGCCTGTTCAGTTGAAGCGTGTCGTGTCAACCGCAATCGTAAACAAATCCATACGAATTATAATGCAGCGAATTCGATTTATTCTCAATCTAATGTTCGATGAAGGCCACGCCACGTCGGTTGTTTGCAGTGCCGGATTAAGATAGTGCGGGTCTGTAGCATATGTCATTTAAAAAAACACGTAAATATTAAAACACACATTTTTTTACGTGCATAGCGAAGTAATTGTATTTTTTCATTTGCGATACAGCCAGATCATACGACAAATCGATAACCTTAAACACCCAGTCGTTCGTAAAGTTGAAGGCGGTATAGTACTATAGTAAGTGCAGAATTACTTAACCGGAATTGATAGCTTGACAGAATTTCGCGCGGGGCCCTTGCGAGTGCGGGGCCCGTAGCTACTACATTTGTAGTAACATCTACTACATATGTATTAGCTACTACATTTGTAGCTACTTTCGCTACGAGGAGAATCCGGCACTGGTTGTTTGGCAATCGCGGGCTGCGAGTGGGAAGGACCCCGGCCGAATCAGCTCGGAGGAGTACGCGCCACTGATGTTAACCGTCGGCTGGAATCAAACTTAGGTCGCTCAGGCTCGCGGGGCAATGCGTGAACCACTTCGCCACCGCTCCCCCTGTACCCGCTCACCCCCCCCACCCCACATCAAAATTATTTGCAAAAGAATAGTTATATATTTACCCAAGTAAAGTACTGCATACAGTAATATACATGTGCAAAAGAGTTGTCACGCTGAAGTAATGTCTATGTAGTGTAATATACCACACGTTATACAATACACGTCCTCAACGCTATATTGCAAACACCGTCACAGCAGATCCAGTTTGAATTTAATACGAACCCTTATAAATAACTCCAATGTTTGCATACACTATGTTCAAAGACGATACACAGCATACAATATTGATAGAGCGCCATGTGATTTTAAACGTTCGCATTTTAATCTTTGTAAAAAAAAACATGAAGGCGTTTGGACGCGTAAAAAAATAACTAAAACTTCACACTTTAACATCTAAATTCGAATCGAGTACGCGCGCACACACACACACACCGTGGTTGTATACTGACCAGATATGCCGATTCGAAAAAATGTCAACGGCAGCTGCGGTCCCCGTCTCTGTGACCGACGCACACACAAACCCCCCCCCTCCCCCAAAGACTCCTCGGCTCAACTCCGCAAGCGTCTCTCTCCTCCCCCCCGGCCCTTCCGTCTCCTCTCGTCGTTGCGTGCGCGCGTGAGACTCAGTCGACTGTGGCGTGCCGAGTGCGTGCGAGGGCACTTTAAGTTGTGTGGGCGGTGTTCACTCCGGTGCGGGGCGGTTCTTTTGCGTGACGGGCTGTTGCTGCTGCTGCTGCTGATGATGATTGATAAATGGCAATGGCTATGGTATGTGCACAACAACAACAACAACAAAATAATGTATTTTACTTCAACCGTGTGAAGTCCACTGAGCTTTAAATTTTAACTTTATTTTCTTACTTGAATTTACCGAAAGAACCAAAGAGTAAATTTTGATTTAAAGCTTTCGTGACTGCAGTAATTCATATTCTTAGTTTTTTCGGTAAAGTCACGTTGAAGAGAAACAACAAAATAACAAAATATATATAAAACAATAAAAAATTCTCACGACGTTTCGACCATAACTCAAACGGTCACACACCTGATGATGACCGTTTGAGTTATGGTCGAAACGTCGTGAGAATTTTTTATTGTTTTATATATATTGTTATTTTGTTGTTTCTCTTCAACGTGACTTTACCGAAAAAACTAAGAATATGAACCAAAGAGTATTTACATTGTGAGACCTCCTTTGCCAGTAACAAGATATAGGAATAGGTTTTTGCCAGTTGAAAGGGTAAAACCTATTCCTAAACCAAAGAGTAATTTCTGCAGTCACGAAAGCTTTTAATCTCTTTTCCACTGAGCTGTTTAGCTCTCTCTTTCTTTTCAGAGGCGACCTGACCACGCGTGATGGTAGCTCGTCCACATTGGGTTATAACAGTCATCGTAAGTGGGAATTTAGAGGAGCAGCCAAAATAATCTACACACATTTATTGTTTAAAGTTTTTTTTTTGTAATGTGGAGGAAGGCAAAACCGGAAGAACCCGGAGAACAATCTACGCGACCATCACGGGGAGAGGGACAGAGAACACGCGGACTCCAAATATGGAACAGGCATCATCTGGAGGGTCCGGGATCGAACCCACGACCGCCTGCGTACCAGGCGAGGGAGTTCTCACCTCCTTCCCAGGGGTGATGATCATTAATAAGCAGATGGAACATTCTAAAAGTGAACGCATAGCGAAATAATCGCAAAAAAACAATAATGATGGGTCACAAATTAATACGTAGACAATACACCTCATAATTTATCTCTTTCCACATCGCAAAAATAGGTTGTGTTTTACACATCCCCATCAGCCACACGGCCTAGCTTCCGAGAATTTATTCCCCAGCAGTATTGGTTCAACACAAGCAATCTCTGGACCGGTTTGGACGTTCGGTGTCTCATCAGCAGTGTCCTGCTTGCTTCAACTAATGTTGGCGACCTGCTATGTGTTTATAGGCAACGAAGCCTGTCTGGCAGTTATGGCTCATCATGCAGTATGACTCACAACTCTATAATGCATAACACAAACCTAATCCATAACATAATAAAATATATATATTTTTATTTTATTGTTTCCCTTCAACGTGACTTTACCGAAAGAGCTAAGAATATGAATTACTGCAGTCACGGAAGCTTTAAAACACACATGATCATTCGCGTCCACGCGGAGAACAGAGCAAAATATATGATCGGACAATACAATAAAATAACCCCTCCCTCCTTCCCGTGTTATCGCTCTACAGATCACCCTTGCAAAGTAAATACTCCTCGTCTCTTAAGTTCGCATCTGGTTCAACCGGGGGTCCTCAAACCTGTGACTCCAGAGCCGCGTGTGGCTCTATCAGGCACCACTGCTTCATGTACACGTTATTTTATTAAGGACCCACCACCATCTCGTATTCACCACCGCAGTGGCATTGCGGCTCTTGAAGTATTGAGGTGTGTGCCGGATTAAGCTAGTACGGGGCCTGTAGCATATGTTATGAAGGGGCCCTAGATTATTATTTTTTAAAACACATAAATAAGAAAACACAAATTTTTTACTTGCATAGTAAAGTAATTGTATTTTTTTCATTTTTTATACAGCCAGATAATACGACAAATCGCTCACCTTAAAGACCCAGTCGTTCGTAAAAGTTGAAGGCAGTATAGTACTATAGTAATAGAGCAAGTGCAGAATCACTGAACCGGAATTGATAGCTTGAAAGCATTTAGCGCGGGGCCCTTGAAAGTGCCGGGGCCAGTAGCTATAATCCGACACTGATTGAGGTGTGCTTTTTGTCGTTGTACCGAATTCGAAATAAAAGTCTCTTCTTGTTAGTCTGTTTGCCGACCCCCGTGGGCCAAACAAACAAACACCTCGACTTGTCTCCTCCCCGTGTGTAAAGAAACAAAACATTACCGCAGTATTTGACGCATCCCATCGGTTTTCGATTAAATGATCCCTGACCCCAAGGGGGTTGGATGGAGGAGCTGAACGTTGGCGATAGTTGCCAGCCCTTTGATAGATTCCGAGGAAAACAATATTTGACAACAACAAAAAAAAACCGCCCAATCGTTACGTGCTTGGCCGTTGTTATGGAAAATATAAATAATAATAACGTAGTCCTCCATGACCAGTGGTCTACAGGCATGATCGATGCAATAAAAACGCGGTTGCGTTCGTCATTGGGGCCGGCTTGCGTGCCACGTGGTTACTGCAGTGGTTATCGCGTTGCGGAGTCAAACTGGCCCAACACCCACATTCGTTTCCCCTGCCACGGCTAACATCAGTGGGGTGAGTGAGGTCTGAACCGTGCCTGCCCCCACCGCCACAAAACGCTACCCCCCCCCTCCCTTTCACCGACCCACACACATGGCCAGCGTGTTGAAGTGGTTGTGTGTGCAGTATTGGTTAGCGCAACGCGCTATGAACCACCGTGCATAACAGGTATTATAGGTGACTTAAAGCTTTCGTGACTGCAGGAATTAATATTCTTTTGGGTCTTTCGGTAAAGTCAAGTCACGTTGTGACTTTACCGAAAGACTCAAAGAATAGGGATTATAGTCTGCGGTGCCAGGCTGTAAGCAGCAGAGGGCGGTACAGCAAAATCCATTCTTGTACTGAACTTCTATTCCTTCCCCGCAACCCAGGCTGACCAGCATGGTGAAGTCTATGGTCTAGGGACGCCGCCGTGGCTAGGAGATGTTAACTTCTTCGCCTGGTATGCAGGAGGTCATGGGTTCGATCCAGAACCTGGCACCAGTTTTATATTTGGAATTTGCGTGTCTCTCTCTCGTCATCATCACGGTGGCTAGGAGATGTTAACTTCTTCGCCTGGTATGCAGGAGGTCATGGGTTCGATCCAGATCCTGGCACCAGTTTTATATTTGGAGTTTGCGTGTCTCTCTCTCATCATCATCACGGTGGCAAGGAGATGTTAACTACCTCGCCTGGTATGAAGGAGGTTGTGGGTCCGATCCCGACCCTGACATCTGCTCTATATTGTGAGTTTGCAAGTCTCTCTCGCCGTGGTGGTCGCGTGGATTTTTCTCCGGGTCCTACGGTTTTTTTTTCCCCTCCACATTTAGAATCAATATCACGCGTTTATGAGTATGTGTCTGCTATAAATGTCTACGTGCATAAGCCAGCTCAGTGGGCCTTACCTTGTTAAAAAAACTAAACTAAAAACATTTGTTTTAGTTTTAGTTCATAGTTTAGTGTGACATGAAACTGAAGAACCGGAAAGGCACCCCCACCACGCACACGAGGAGAGTGACACAGTTGCCATATCCTGGCGCACACCTGCAAGCCCAACGCCCACGACACACCCGGCAAGCCCCGGTGATGGTAGTCACCCATCCAAATACTTCCGATATTTTGTCCCCGGGGTTTTAATCCATCTTTGAGCGCGGCCGTGGCGTGCACACTGCCAAGGACTGTTAAGCCCCAGTCGAGTTTTAATCGGTCTACGTTCAGTAGTTGTGAGAGCGCGGTGATGTTGCAGCGATGTGTTTCGTCACCTACCGGATGTGCCATTCAAAATCGTCACCTATCATTTCATCTCACGCGTACTATGCCCACGCATGCACGTGGCTATATCGTGATAGATGGTACAGTGGATGCATTACAGGGTGATTCAAAACTATGGTAACACTGATATGGGACTATCGTTTTAAATTGGGAAAAGAACGGATAACATGATAACAAATTTAATGTTAATAGCTTCATGAAAGTCAAAGAGTCTCCCACTCATATTCTTGGTTCTTTCGGTAAAGTCGCGTAGAAGGGAAACAATAAAATAATAAAAATATAAAACAATAAAATAATTTTATTGTTTCCCTTCTACGTGACTTTACCGAAAGAACCAAGAATATGAATCCCTGCAGTCACGAAACCTTTAAATCAAAATTCTCCCACTCGTTCGCCATCGTTGTCAACGCGTGCCTGGAATCTCCTCCAGGTGGTCTCCAGAGCCCGGAGGCACGAACATTTATTGGGATGTTTTTCCAAATTCTCCGAAGTGTTAACATTTTTTTGAAGCACCCTGTTTAAGTCAAAAATAATACGTTTAGAGCGATAGGAGTGAATAGTGCTTTTGTGCATTTTGCACACAAACTCTGCGACCCGAGTTCTATTTATGCTCACGGCCAACGCTTAAGCGACGATTATCCGAAGCGGGTCTCCCGTAGGTCGACTCAGCCTCAAAGGAGTATACCTGGTGCGGTGTGTAGCCATTAGCTCCTGGGGAGACGACAAAGGCGGCCGGGTGTGGTGCTGGCCACCCGCTCCCCCGTGTGCCGTGTTGGCCTCCACAGGTGTTGGCAAACGGCACTTGCCCCAATTGCCTGTCAAGGACATGCGAGGGAAAACTTTGATGAACGTCTTACTTGGAGTAGACAATAGCGGCGAAGCGTGAAGTATGGGCGGGCCACACCACCTCGTTAATTGAGGCGCTGCTACAGCCTTAATAGGTGTTCGCTGACACGTACTCGTCCCGACAGTCTACCGCACGGCTTAGCTATATGGGGTTGGAGGGGGGGGGGGCGGCTATCTGTATCTCTCGTCGTGCGGCTCTGCATGCTGGATATTCATATTCGGCGTGACTTCTCGACCTGCGTGTTACGTCAACAAGATGTCGTTTTTGCATTGCCTAAA